GAACCTACAAGTGAGTGAACGAATGAAAATTCACACGTCTCTACACGATGGAGCCACGTTCACACATTTGTGTTTTTCCGAGCAGGCGGCTCTGCCAGTAACAGTGCCGGGCAGAGGGGTGCATGCACACAACGGAGCTCCACAACACGCGCAGCTTGTGAAGCGCGGCACATCATCAGATCGAAGCGGTGGCGAGAACGGACGGAAATCGCCAAGGCTGTGCTGCTGCTGCTGCTGCTGCTGCTGCTGGTTGTGTTGTGTCCGATGCGTATCGCACTGCTGACGTCACGACGGCGCCGGCAGACACCTGTCAGACCGCCTCCCCCTCCTCTCCTCCGGTGGTGCCTTCCGCTCGCCCTTCCCAAAGGTTACAAATCACTTTCTCCCCGCCTTGCATACGCTGCCCCCTCCCCCTTTGGGGCAACACACAAACACAGCAACGGCGAGTACAGTACGGGCAGCACCACATCTGCGGTCGCCCCCTTGGGTCACGCGGCCACACACACACATCACAGCACTGTAACAAAAATTCTGAAAATTCAGTAGATGTTTTTCAGAATCGGCAGTCTGCATCTTGTTTTCAGACCATTACTCAAAATTTTCTAAGTTTAGACTGAAAATCCAGACTTTTCACTCTGAATCAGGTTTTCAGAGCAATTTGTCTGAATATTTTCAAGTATATTTTCAGATTCTACACTGAATCTATAATTCAGAGTTCCCGGTATGAATTTTGAGTGGCAAGTCCACCGGACAGGCGGACGAAGCACACCAGTAACCGACGCTGCTCCCCACGCAGGTAGCCGGCAGCCGAATGGTTAAGGTTGCGGCTTCCGAACCTGAAGGTTGGCGGTTCGATCCCAACCAAGGGCAGTACCGAATGGAATGTCTTCACGTGGGCATAGCCCTCTACCCCTACAACTGCTAGGTCCCTCGCTATGTGATCATTTTTAACATTTTCAAAAATATTTTCATACCGCGGCTGTCTGAATTTTCAGACTGAGTGGTATGGTAAGGCACTACTGAAATTTCAGACCCGGGTGCAGTCTTAATTTTCAGACTACTGGTCTGTAAAAAAACTTCAGACTAAAAGTACTGAAAATTCAGTAAAACTTTTTTTACAGTGAGGTGTTGAAACACACACACACACACACAAACAATCTCGGTTTTTCACACGCACAAACGCCGCACGCCACCGCGCGAACGCACTCACATCACGGGCACTTCTTCACACTTGCGATATCGTGTAGCGGCAGAAACACACAACTTTCGGTCCTGCGCCTCCCGAAACAAGCTTTCGCGGGGCGACTCCTCACGCAGGGGACACAGGCGAGAGTCCCTAAACACACACACACACACTTGGGCGCGCGCGTGCCCCCGAACTCGTTCCGGGAGCTGCTCCGCTCGGCTCCGCTCGGCTCCGCGTGGTGCGGTGCGGGGATTGGGAGCGACTGACTGACTGACTGGCCCGCGCCCCGCCCGGCCCGGCCGTTGGGCCCCCAACCCATTAATTAAAACACACCAACACCAACGCCTCATTGGCCCAGCGATCAGACGAACGGGCCGACAGCAGACGGACGGGCATAGCGCTTGTGTCAGGCGCTCGTCTAGTTGGCCGGCCACGAGTAAACACAGTAGTAAGTAGCATCGGCACATCGCCTCGACACGAAAAGAAACGAAAATCAGTATGGGAGTATGAGTCAACGGTAAGTTCTTTTGTTTACGCAAACTCGCCATTTCTCTTCAGACGAGTACAGTGGTTTTACTCACAAAAATAGCTCTTTTAGAACCGGCCCGCTTGTCTGGATCGAAGCTCTTTATTTTATCGATTATTTTATTTTTCGCGGAGATGCCATCAGCAGGTCCAGCTGCTGGGCCGCCGCCACAACCCTCTCCCCCGCCAAGGTCAAGAAATCTGTTTGTCTCGGCGTCCATCACAAACAAGGAGGCCGCCGCAGGGCCGGGGCCGGGGCGGCGCCGCCTCCAAAAGACTTATTCACGAGGCGCCACCGCCGGCCCGGCCCAATCTGTCGCATTAATTAGACAGACCCACATACCATGTCATCGAGTGCCAAAGAGTGCGTGACACTCGTCAAAGCACTCGGACTCGTTTCTACAATGGAAACGTTTCAAACTGCGGCGCCGAGCGCGCGCTTAGGGAGAGGGTCGTTAACGACCAGCCCATTAGGAGGAGTTTGCCTCCATTTTTCCACGAGTAGAGATAAACGGCCCTGCCGAGTGTCTTGGTCGCGCAGGCAGCCGCCGCCGCCTGCACCATCCATCCATATTCACGGAAAGAGTCGAGACAATTTGGGTTCCGTTTCCGATTAGTCATACTGCGGTCAGAGCCTACCTAGCCGGCGGCTTGCGCACCGCCGCGCTGTACAGTAGTACACCGCGAAAAAAGACAACACGCCGAAAAAGAGTTCCATTGACTTACAATCGTAGATAACGCACAAGAAGTGACGTTTTTTTTTCTTTCTCGGGGAACGCATGTATCCCGCTGAGGCACTGACGCAGAACATTCATAACACGCTCAGGTGATCGCTTTTTACGCTACGCAAACTCGTTGACAACAACACAACAGCGATGAGCTCCGGGCGCACTACTGACTCATGACAGTGTGCAGTGACAGTGCAGTGAGCAAATGAGCTGGCAGAGGACTTGCACCACAAACAAAAGGCCGTCATTAAAGCCAAACACAAGGACGCTCGCGGGACGCGCGGCGGGCCGAATTCGCGCGCGCGCATCGCGCCACTTATCATCCAATGAGGAAGCTGGCTACTGCAGCGCTGCAGATACAGCAATGTGACATCCGTCACGAGAATAGTTCTAAACATTTCGGCTCACAAATCCTTTAAAAAAAAAAATAAAAGAGCGTGTCTTTCCACGCATGTCGGTGGCACGCCGTATAAACAGCCGCGGAGTGCGAATGGCCGCCCCCGCTCGGGGCTGCTGCGGCTGCGCCACGCCATTCATCAGACGAGTTCCCCCGCCGCGGGGGCCTTGAGCTTCAAATTCGACAATAGATGGCGGCAGGCGAGGCGGCACGCTGCCTGCTGCCTCCTCTCTCTCTGTCTGATCTGCGGCCGCGCCCAGACGTTTGCGCCGAGGCGTTCGACACACACGCCAACAACCCAAAGTTGAACGACCGCGGCG